AAATAAATACATTGTTGCAACTGCTATAAATGTCAAGGAACTGTCAGAAGAAATAGCGGAGCTCTCTGCAGGGACACTTTTGCCAGACTGGAATTCTTCTTCTTCTTCATCCTCTTCTTCTTCATCCTCTTCTTCTTCATCTTCTTCATCATCTTCCTCTTCTTCACCTTCCTCTTCATCCTCTTCTTCTTCTTCATCCTCTTCTTCTTCTTCATCCTCTTCTTCTTCATCCTCTTCTTCATCTTCATCTTCCTCTTCTTCATCTTCCTTTTCTTCTTCATCCTCTTCTTCATCCTCTTCTTCTTCTTCTTCCTCTTCTTCTTCTTCTTCTTCTTCCTCTTCTTCTTCTTCATCCTCTTCTTCTTCTACTTCTTCTTCTTCTTCATCCTCTTCTTCTTCTACTTCTTCTTCTTCTTCATCCTCTTCTTCTTCTTCTTCTTCATCTTCTTCTTCATCCTCTTCTTCTTCTACTTCTTCTTCTTCATCCTCTTCTTCTTCTTCATCTTCTTCTTCATCCTCTTCTTCTTCTACCTCTTCTTCTTCATCCTCTTCCTCTTCTTCTTCATCCTCTTCTTCTTCTTCATCCTCTTCTTCTTCATCCTCTTCTTCTTCTTCATCCTCTTCTTCTTCATCCTCTTCTTCTTCATCCTCTTCTTCTTCTTCTTCTTCCTCTTCTTCTTCCTCTTCTTCTTCCTCTTCTTCTTCTCTTCCTCTTCTTCTTCCCTTCCTCTTCTTCTTTTTTCTTCTTCTTTTTGTCTTCCTCTTGCAGGTCACTGCTCATGCGCAAATTTTTTTATCGGTAAAATATCAGCGATTTGCCCATCATTGCCGCGAAAATCAGCCGATCGGCAAAATCGGCCGATTTTTTTTCCAACTTTACCGATAAAAAAAATCTGCCAAAATACCGAAAAACGGACGAACATTTAGCCCACTAATGATCCAAAAATTGGCCGATTTTCGACCCATCTATGGCCTGCATTATGCAGGCCATAGATGGGTCGAAAATCGGCCGATTTTTCGACCGAAAATAAAATCGGCCGATTTTCGGATCGTTAGTGGGCTATTTGTTCGGCCGTTTTTCGGTATTTTGCGTTTTTTTTAATCGGGAAAGTTGGAAAAAAATCGGCCGATTTTGCCGATCGGCCGATTTTCGCGGCAATAATGCAGTTGGGTCGAAAATCGGCCGATTTTTCTTTAAAAAAAACGAAAAATCGGTCGTTCAAGTGGCCGACGTTACCACCAATGGTAAAAAAAATCGGCCGATTTTCATCCCGTCTACAGCCGGCAAAAAGTGTCCCTGCAGAGAGCTCTGCTATTTCTTTGACAGTTCCTTGACATTTACAGAGGTTGCAACAATGTATCTATTTGTATCCATTTAGGATACAGATGTTTTTATTCGGAAACAAATAGATACAATGTTGCAACCGCTGTAAATGTCAAGGAACTGTCAAAGAACTGTCAAAGAAATAGTGGAGCTCTCTGCAGAGACACTTTTTGTCGGACTAGAATTCCTTTTATTTTTCACCCTTCTTCTTCTCCTTCTTCATCATCATCCCTCTTCTTCTTCTTCTTCATCATCATCCTCTTCTTTCTTCTTCTTCTACTTCTTCATCATCATCATCCTCTTCTTCTTCTTCTTCTTCTACTTCTTTCATCATCATCATCCTCTTCTTCTACTTCTTCATCATCATCCTCTTCTTCTTCTTCTTCTACTACTTCTTCATCATCATCATCATCATCATCTCATCTCTTCTTCTTCATCATCATCATCATCCTCTTCTTCATCTTCTTCTACTTCTTCATCATCATCCTCTTCTCTTCATCTACTTCATCATCACCCTCCTCTTCTTCTTCTACTTCTTCATCATCAACATCCTCTTCTTTTTCTTCATCATCACCATCCTCTTCTTCTTCATCATCACCATCCTCTTCTTTTTCTTCATCATCATCATCCTCTTCTTCTTCTTCGTCATCATCATCCTCTTCTTCTCTTCTTCTTCATCATCATCATCATCATCATCATCATCATCCTTTTCTTCATCTTCTACTTCTTCATCATCATCCTCTTCTTCTACTACTACTACTACATCATCATCATCTTCTTCTACTTCTTCATCATCATCCTCTCTTCTTCATCTTCTTCTTCATCATCATCATCATCCTCTTCTTCTTCATCATCATCATCCTTTTCTTCTTCTTCTTCTTCGTCATCATCATCCTCTTCCTTTTCTTCATCATCACCATCCTCTTCTTCTTCTTCATCATCACCATCCTCTTCTTTTTCTTCATCATCATCATCCTCTTCTTCTTCTTCGTCATCATCATCCTCTTCTTCTACTTCTTCATCATCATCATCCATCTTCATCTTCTACTTCTTCATCATCATCCTCTTCTTCTCACTACTACTACTTCATCATCATCTTCTTCTACTTCTTCATCATCATCTCTTCTTCATCTTCTTCTTCATCATCATCATCCTCTTCTTCTTCATCATCATCCTTTTCTTCTTCTTCTTCTTCGTCATCATCATCCTCTTCTTCTTCTTCTTCTACTTTATCATCATCCTCTTCTTCATCTTCTTCTACTTCTTCATTATCATCCTCCTCTTCTTCTTCTCCTACTTCTTCTTCATCATCATCCTCTTCTTCTACTTCTCTCATCATCATCATCCACTTCTTCTTCTTCTTCATCATCATCCTCCTCTTCTTCTTCTTCTTTTTCTACATCATCATCATCCTCTTCTTCTTCTTCTTCTTCTTCTTCTTCGTCATCATCATCCACTTATTCTTCTTCTTCGTCATCATCATCCTCTTCTTCTACTTCTTCATCATCATCATCCTCTTCTTCTACTTCTTCATCATCATCATCCTCTTCTTCTTTTTCATCATCATCATCATCATCATCATCCTTTTCTTCTTCATCATCATCCTCTTCTTCTTTTTCTTCATCATCATCATCCTCTTCTTCTTCATCATCCTCTTCTTCTTCCTCTTCTTCTTTTTCTTCTTCTTCCTCTTCTTCATCATCATCCTCTTCTTCTTCTTCTTCTTCTTCTTCTTCTTCTTTTTTCTTCATCGTCATCCTCTTCTTCTTCTTCTTCTTTTTCATCCTCCTCCTCTTCTTCTTCTTCTTCATCATCATCATCCTCTTCTTTCTTCATCATCATCATCTCTTCTTCTTCTTCTTCATCATCATCATCATCTTCTTCTTCTTCTTCTTCTTCTTCTTCATCATCATCATCTCTTCTTCATCATTCTCTTCTCATCTTCTTCTCTTCTTCATCATCATCATTCTCTCTTTCTTCTTCTTCTTCTTCTTCTTCTTCTTCTTCTTCTTCTCTTCTTCTTCATCATCTTCTCTTCTTTCATCATCATCATCATCATCTTCTTCTTCTTCTTCATCATCATCATCCTCTTCTTCCTCTTATTCTTCCTCTTCTTCATCATCATCCTCTTCTTCTTTTTCTTCTTCATCATCATCATCATCATCATCATCATCATTCTTCTTCTTCATCATCATCATCCTCTTCTCTTCTTCTTCATCATCATCCTTCTTCTTCTTCTTCTCTTCTTCTTCATCATCCTCTTCTTCTTCATCATCATCATCATCTCTTCTTCTTCATCATCATCATCATCATCATCATCATCATCTTCTCTCTCTTCTTCTTCTTCTTCTTCATCATCATCATCCTCTTCTTCTTCATCATCATCATCATCCTCTTCTTCTTCATCATCATCACCATCCTCTTCTTGTTCTTCTTTTTCTTCATCATCATCATCCTCTTCTTCTTCATCATCATCCTCTTCTTCTTCTTCTTCATCATCATCTTCTTCTTCTTCATCTTCATTCTTCTTCTTCTTCCTCTTCTTCTTCAAACCCAGTGCTGATTAAATACCACCAAAAGAAAGCTCTATTTGTGTGGAAAAAAAGGAAAAACGATTTCATATGGGTACAGTGTTGCATGACTGAGTAATTGTAGATTGTGGTCCAGCACGCTGGAAAATCTTTGCTGAGAGTGCCATTGCTGCGAATCAGTGACAGCGCGGTATGAGGTTGACCAGCCGATTGTCACAAGTTGGTGAAAAGGGCAGTGGTCTGACACCACGTTTGTCACAATTGGAACAGGGGGTTATGAATTAAAATGGTTGTAAAGGCTGAAAGGAGCAGACAATAAAAGCATTTTTACCTTAATGCAGAGAATGCATTAAGGCAAAAATGCTTCTATTGTCAGCTCTCCCCAAATACATACTATGTAGCAGATTGAGAAAGAAATTGTATATTCTTTATATAACTGTATTCCATTTTGTATGCTTTGCTTATGTTTTGTACAATGCACTCGACACTAATGTTTCGATTACGCATCTGCATTCTTTCGAGTACTGATAAGAAATTAGCGTGCCTATTGCATGTAATGCCCCTTGTTACCGTAAAAGTACAATGGTTATATTAATGTGATACCTACGTAAGCATTTGTACAAAAAAAACTTCAATTACGCCAAATAAACAGAACAGTGACTTGCAAAAATGCTGAGCGTATCTTTTTGTTTCTGTTCCCTACTGCAGTAGCTATTATCAATTTTTGAACCACTGATCAATATGAGGATAGGAGTTGCCTATCTATAACATTTCCAGAACAACAATGGATGAAAATAATATTGATTTGATCTTGAAATAAAATTTCAGTGAAGCCTATATAAATTGTTTACACAAGATAGAAAAAATTAATCAACTGAAATAAACGAAAACCTTACACAAAAGACTCTGTAGAATACATATTGTATTAATGTAACGTACCCAATAACAACCAAAAGACACCAGGTCCACATTACAGTTTGTCTCTTAAAAGCTCATCTTTTTTTCAGCTGTCAGTTTGTAAAAAATTGTGATGCAACCTACATACACTATATTGCCAAAAGTATTGGGACACCCCTCCAAATCATTGGATTCAGGTGTCCCAATCACCTCCATGGCCACAGGTGTATAAAATCAAGCACCTAAGCATGCAGACTGTTTCTATAAAAATTTGTGAAAGAATGGGTCGCTCTCAGGAGCTCAGTGAATTGAAGCGTGGTACCATGATAGGTTGCCACCTGTGCAATAAGTCCATCCGTGAAATTTGCTTGCTACTAAATATTCCATGGTCAACTGTTAGTGGTATTATAACAAAGTGGAAGCAACTGGAAACAACAGCAACTCAGCCACAAAGTGGTAGACCATGTAAAATGACAGAGCGGGGTCAGCGCATGCTGAAGCACACAGTGCGCAGAAGTTGCCAACTGTCTGCAGAGTCAATAGCTAAATACCTGGGCAGCACAGTGGCTTAGTGGTTAGCATGTCTGCCTTGCAGTAAATGGGTCAGGGGTTCGATTCCCGACCATGGCGCCTCCTGCATGGAGTTTGCATGTTCTCCCTGTGCTTGCGTGGGTTTCCTCCGTGTGCTCCGGTTTCCTGCCACACTCCAAAGACATGCTGGTAGGTAATTGGATCCTGTCTAAATTGGCCCTAATATGTATATGTATGAATGTAAGTTAGGGACCTTAGATTGTACACCCCTTGAAGGTTAGGGACTGATGTGAATGTTCAATACATATGTGTAAAGCGCTGCGTAAATTGAGCACTATATAAGTACCTGAAATAAATAAATAAACTTTGTGTGGCCTTCAGATTAGCACAACAGTGCATAGAGAGCTTCATGGAATGGGTTTCCATGGCTGAGCAGCTGCATCCAAGCCTTATATCACCAAGTGCAATGCAAAGTGTCAGATGCAGTGGTGTAAAGCACATCGCCACTGGACTCTAGAGCAGTAGAGATGTGTGCTTTGGAGTGATGAATCATGCTTCTGGCAATCCGATGGGCATGTATGGATGTGGCAGTTGCCAGGAGAATGGTACTTGCCTGACTGCATTGTGCCAAGTGTAAAGTTTGGTGGAGAGGGGATTATGATGTAGGGTTGTTTTTCAGAGGTTGGACTTGGCCCCTTAGTTCCAGTGAGGGGAACTCTTAAGGTGTAAGCATACCAAGACATTTTGGACAATTTCATGCTCCCAACTTTGTGGGAACACTTTGGTGATGGCCCTTTCCTGTTCCAACATGACTGTGCACCAATAAACAAAGCAAGGTTCATAAAGACATGGATGAGTGAGTTTGGGGTGAAGGAACTTGACTGACCTGCACAAAGTACTGACCTCAAACCCGAAAGAACACCTTTGGGATGAATTCGAGCAGAGACTGCGAGCCAGGCCTGCTCGTCCTACATCAGTGCCTGACCTCACAAATGTGCTTCTGGAAGAATGGTCAAATATTCCCATAGACACACTCCTAAACCTTGTGGACAGCCTCGCCAGAAGAGTTGAAGCTGTTATAGCTTCAAAGGTTGGGTCAACTCAATATTGAACCCTACGGACTAAGACTGGGGTGCCATTAAAGTTCATGTGCGTGTAAAGGCAGGCGTCCCTATACTTTTGGCAATAAAGTGTATGTGTAATATGTAGTAATGATGGTCCATCTAGCGCCCGATGTGCACACTACTTAGCTGAATGCTATCCCACTAGAGTGCGCGTGCATGAGAAACCTCCAGAAAACTGTGAAAGGATCCCTAGGTTTCGACTTCCTAGGGGCCTCCACAGAGTTTAATCTGGCACATCTTGGTCTAGGAAATAAAAGATATCCGCAATTGTTTTTCTCCTGCATGATCCAGTAGGAATCTCTGGACCGGTAAATCAGGATGAATTTGTACAAATATTTGAGGACACTAGCCTGGTGTCATGATCCACAGGATTAATTTTAGATGTTGACATATCTGTAGACACAGCGGGGTTTATTTACTAAAGCTGGAGAGTGCAAAATCAGACTCACTTCTGCATAGAAACCATTTAGCTTCTAACCTTAGCTTGTTCAATTAAGCTTTGGCAATAAAACCTGGAAACTGATTGGTTTCTATGCAGAAGCGAGCCTGATTTTGCACTCTCCAGCCTTAGTAAATAAATCCCATTTTGTCTGATTGTACTGTATATGTAGCTCAGAACAACTTTTCTGTCATCTATCAACATCCAGCTCACGCAGTATGAAGTATTCTATTTCCACAGCTGGCACAGTCCCACAAAGCTCAAGCCTAGGAGTTGTGTGCAAAGGCTTAGGTGTTAAACTGGCTTTCTCAGACAGCCCTACATGGGTTTGATTGCAAGAGTCTATTACTTTGAGTTAGGCAACAGCTGCTATGGTCTCTGTAGCAGAATCGCCAGGCCAAAATGCTTTCATGACAGCAGCACTGTTTGAGGTAATCTTAGAGAGTTTGAAATTAGCTTCAGAAAGCATACCTCATGTCCTTTGGAGCAGGTTGATGGCTTACTCATAATGGGGTAAAGATTTGAGTTGCATCATTAACATAGAAGTCTCTCTTTATGAAATGTCGAGCATCTGCTCCACACTCTCTGTTGTCATCAAGAGCCTTCACAGACTACATGTTGCAACAGCACGTGAAATCTATTACTGAAGACATGCACCTTCATGCAGTACTCAATAACTTAATTATGTCATTGTCACAGTCCCACAGAAACCTGAGGACATTCCTATGGTTTTCTACTACAATAAAGCAATGAAACATCTGTTCAATGTCAGCTGTAATGGCAACTGGCTCTTTTCTCTTTTCATAAGTACTCCAACAAGTGTGCCAGTTAAATTGGAACCAGTGAGAGGAAGGTAATTTAGGAATACACCTTGGTATATGGCACTGGAGTCAAACACTATCCTGATTTGTTTTGGTTAACGTGGGTGACGCACTGCAAAGAATGGGAGATACCGGCACTTATCGTATTCTTTTACAGGTGAAGCCAGCTCAACGTTATCATCAAAATGGTATTTCGTTTTAGATTTCTTTTGTAGTGTTCACTGCAGTAAGACAAATCTAAATAAAACCTGCTCATGATTGTTTGGAAGCTTGTATTGCAGCACTTGTCATCACAGAAAATAGGAGTGACATTGGGTACTTGGATGATGTGTATAGGCTTTTCTCTCGTCCATAAGAAATCTTGCCCAAACATATATCACCAACACAGCCTAGATCAAATCTTTGTGTATATGGGGCATTGTCAAGACCACTGAATTGCTGGTACACTTTATGTACTCTGAGCGTATTCCAAATTTCTGGAGATGCTCCCTAATATCTTGCAATCTTTCCCATAAGCCCAGGATATTTTCTTAGAGGATGAGGGTGAGGTTTTTTGTGATTTGGGCAATGACAACTTGAATCTTTATCTCTAGCATCAGAAACATTCAGATCAATAGAAGAGGACGTGGCAGGAAGAATGTTTGTCTTTTTCACAGATAATGTCCCCCTCAAGTGTCAGTGTTTAGCTGCTACATTGTCATACCTTGATGACTATGAGGCTGGTAAATTGGGTCCTCTCAAGCTGAAGCTTGGGACATTCCTTGTCCAGTCTTGATCACTAATGAACCTGCAAAAATAATAATTGAGGGAAGGAAACTTTATGACCTCCTTTATATTCTGAGCCCTGTGCTACCAATTTCTCTTGTAGGCTGTAAGGCATTTTTGACACTACCAGATTTACACCATGAGCAGTGTCTAAATAGCTTAGTCCTGGCAAACAAAAGTTTTCCTTTGCTAACACTAGCTTCATCAGGAGGTCACTTGATTCTTGGAACTTGAGATAAAGTTTGTTAATTTTTGGAAATGTTTGAAGCCTCTTGAATAAAGTACTTTCTATGGCTTCTGAGCTACCATTAATCTGCTCTTGCACATGCAGCAGCAAGGCCTGCATCTGTGTAGTCCACATGTACTGCTCTCAGTCCCTTAACACAATCTGCAGATTCTGGCCCTAGCCACTTACCAGCAAATCAAGTTCCTCCTTTGCAGTAAGGTTAAGATCAGCTATTGAAGCTATAAAGGTTGATATCCAGGCCCTGTAGTTTTCTGGACAGTGGTCAAACCTTGAGAAACTGATAAAAATGAGCTCACAACATATCATATATATGGTGAAATCAGACACTCTTAGATGCAGAAGTAACTTTTGAAACCCTTTGGGTATGTAGGCTTTTTGGTGTAAAGGTAAACCAGTATAAAATGATGTTGCAAGAGCATTATACTGTAGTCTAGTCTCTAAAGCTGGCCATAGACGGATTGAAATTTGGATGGTTCAGCAGGGACCGGTCAAATTCTTGATCAATGTGTGGCTGTCCCTGTTCAACAGAAGTTCATCCTTAGACTGAATTCAGTAAAACGTAAATGTTATATAACCTTTATTGGTCAGCTGCTGATCAGTGTATTCTGATGATGGAAAATACTGCTGACAGAATAAAGATATATATATAATTGATGCAGCGCTTAGTAAAAAATAGCAATAATAAGTGACACAAGGTGTATAAAACACATACACGGTCCTAAAGGTGGACCAGTAATAGTGATAAATCAACAATGGTGAACCCAATCCACATGGGGATATTTGGAAATGTGACCCCTGGTACCCAGATCGGGACACAATCCAACAGTAGGTGAATCCCTACAGAGGGATCAAACACATACACTCCGTGTGCAGGCAGATAATAAACATATCATAATAGACATATAAAATCTGTGCAATAAGTCCATTAATCAGTGCTGCAATCTTCCTGATCATGCAAGATGTGGGTACACAGCACACCATCAATGTGATCCCAAAATGGCTGCAATGGCCTCTCACCTCCACTTCGCGACCCTGCAGGGCCACAAAGCATGTATGGATCCCCTCTGGATCCCCTCAGAACAGACGCTCCTTGTAGCCAGGTAGCGTAGCCAGATATCCTGGAATCAAACTTTCCACTGGGATATAACCCTCTGGACCGGTCAGTAGGTAAATAGGTACTCTCATATAAATCATAGCTCATATGCCCATAGAACGAGAAAAACACAATCTCCATCGTGTAACACTGCTTTATTGGCACGTAAAAATAAGCCAAAATGCAAACTCACATTAAAATAGCTTGTATCAAGGTATTCTCCCCATGTGCTGGGAGTAGAGCATGAAAATAAGGTGTTCCAAGATGGCGTCACGCTGGAAGTACGTCACCACGCTATTGCCGTCGATGTGTTGCGTCACGTGACCTCGTGACTTCGTCAGGACAGCGTGATTGGCCGACAGTACTTCCTTATAAAGGCCGGCAACCGCACCAATCAGGAGTACTGGGCGGTGCACTAGCGGTCAATTTATTGTAGCTCGTCACGCAGGACAGTGTCAGGAATGGACTTGCCAGTAATGGTGGGACTCACCTGCCTTGTGGGCTGCATAACCAGGGCTGGCCAGCGGGTGCTCTCAGCAATCAGAGACTCAACCCTGCAGCCAGCCAAACACCTGAAGCTGATTATGCAGGTGTATTTAAGGGATGGCCAGACCTGCAGTCTGCGCCTTGGTGTGTGTTTTTCCTGGGCCCCTGTATCTTGTTACCTGCATCCCTGTTCCTGTTCCTGTCTGACTGATTCGTTGCTGACCCTGCCTGATCCGGACCTCTGCTGACTTCTCCTGTTTGATCCCTGGCTTGTGACCCTGACCATTCTCTGCCTGACCCCCTGTACCTACCTGCCCGTTAGTTGCTGTACCCGGCTCGTGACCTGACTACTCCCTGCCTGCTCCTCCTGTTCCTACCTGCCCGATTGTTATTGACCCGGCCTGCCTGACGACGCTTTCATTGTATGTATTGTTATCTGTGGGTGGTTTGGTTTGGTTCGTTTGCACTGTGTTATGTTTTAGTATTGCACTGCGTTTATGTATTGTTAGTGTTAATAAATTATATTGTTTATAACAAATCTGAAGCCTGCGTTTCCTGCGTCAGTTCACATACCTCTGGTCATACCCTGGAGCCCTGACAGACGGAAACCTAGTTACTCTGATGATCCTAATTTGCCAAAAGCACAGTGACTAAAGATAAAATGACGGGGCAATATATGAGCAATATATGAGAGGCATAATGGCCCAATTACCTAAAAAGTATATGGGCAAACCACATGTACGAGTAAAAGAGAAAATATAACGATATAAAATGTAAACTTTAATATTAAAAATTATATTAAAAAAAAATATATATATATATATATATACATACACAGTATATATAACCCTCAAGGGCATATCTCAAATGCATATTAAAACAAATATAAAGTGGACCTGAGCAGGCACAACTATAGTCCACTAAGAGTATATACATAAAAGTAGCTATTAGTAAAAAGCCCTAATAGGGCAAAAGTATATATATAGAGATGTCCATATAAAGATAATAAACTACACTCTTATAAAAATAAGGATAATATCCTAAAAAATATAAAAAAATACATATATGACCAAAAAGTGGAAGAATAAAATTAAAATAAAAAATCCACACAAAAAATGCAACTGACATATAAAAAGATGAAAAATGAGGATACAAAACAGGGATAAAAAACAAGGATAACAAAAACCCCTTTTAATCATGCAAAAAAACTCACCACATTCACATTAGTATGTCAAAAATACAATAAAACAAACCCAAATACAAGAAAGGAACCCCCTAAAAACCACTAATGAAACAATTTATATTGAACTCGATGTTAAGTCCCATAGGCGTGTGTGTATCCATTATAAAAATCCATTTGGATTCCACCTGACTTAAGGATCTCACTTTGTGATGTGGTGGTTTATGTAAGAATTTATTCCTAAATATGTAGGGCGGTGTCCTCTCCCTTAAACAAAATATCGCAGTGCCTCCAGCCGTTAAAATATAGCAAATGTTTAATGAACCAATAATTTGGACACCTTAATAATTTGATCACCACTTAATAATGTACCTTGATCTTTTAGCCAGTATGATTTTGTACCATATACACAAAAATTGCCTTTTTAATAAATAAATAAATAAATTTATTTATGTACAAAATGTATATATATATTAATACAAACGCAAAAGACTGGTGATAAATGTATACTTGCACATATAATCAAAAATATAACAGGCTAATTTCTATGATCAAACAATAGATATAGATAATAGTAAAGAGATGAAAAAAAAATCAAATTTAGTTATAAGTTGTAACCTTATAGTGCTTCAGAAATTATTTCTCACATTCCGTGGCCATAGAAATGTAAAAAAGTATTCTCTGATAAATTGCACTATAACAAAACTACAATCAGTTAATATGCAATATCTAATTTCAATCCCAAATCAAATAATTTTTAGCGTTAGAATGATGTATATAGATCTTAATATTCTAAACACACACAATACAAATGCTATCAGTCTTTGGAAAAAAATATCAAATAAAATACAATATCCTAGCAGTCTCACCACTCCCAGAATCTTGAGTTTGAGGATTCCCCCAGTGGGATGCAGTTGGGCCTTCAAATGGTCCTCAAGACAAAATGGCAGCTGGACTCCTTCAGCAAAATGGCCGCAGGTAGCAGGTGAGATTTGCAGTAGGTGTTAGCAATAGGTTTATGAGATATATATTGGAGTTGTTATAGTAGCCTAGATTGTAGTGTTATAGGAGAAGTGTAGAAATTTAGAATTTTCAGAAGTTTAGCAAAGTTTTAAAAGATTTAGAAGTAGTTTTAGTTCAGATCTTTAAGTTTCTTGGTTCAGATTTCAGCTTTTCAGATTCCTTCAGCTTTTCACCCTCTTTCTTTTTCTCTTTTTCCTCCAGCTTTTTTTTTTTTAGCTTTTTTTTTTTTCTTTTGTGAGGTGCATGGCTTTTTTTATACCATCCAAACCTTTGTTTTAAAAGACCCTCCCAACAGGCTTGTTGATTGGCCGGTCGAGAAGTGTGTGTACATAAGATATCTCTCACCTGTCCACTGGGGGCAGCTAGGGATTACAGAAAACAATTTGTGTAGTAATGATGACTCATCCTTTGATTGAAATAACATGTCTTTAGGTATCAAATATATATGTATCCTATTCAAGTATAGTTGATATTACTCTTGAATGAGAACCATAGAAAGATATACATACATTTGGTTCCTCATTTCCTTGATATTTAACTGTTTTGAAACATTATGATTTCTTTTGGAAATGTATAATTGACACCAATTCACGAATCATCTTATTCTTCATCATTTCACACTTAATTGAGTGGTATGCAATACCTAACCTTCTCAAAGATATTTTCCCTTGATAAAATTGTTAATAATATGCTTTTGATAATGTCTCTGTGGGTAGATATCAAGTTCTTAGCTTTAGATGACCTAAGCTTCACCTTTTTGTTTAAGAAATGATGTTCCCATGAATAGGAAAGACCCTCTGTTTACCTGTTGATTGTGTGAGAGCTAGTGTAAACAGCCAGTTATATTTTTACCTCAGTGGATAATAGTGTATTGTCACATTTCAAGAAGTCTCCTCTGGGAATCCACACTTCCAAGGTTTTGTGTGAGCTCTCAGACATCTAGGTTTGGTTACCCTATTGTCACTTGGTTAGGTGTGATGTTCACCTGCAGAAGTCCAAATAGTGGTATTTGACTTTCTATAATAGGGTTTCCTGCCATTGAAGTATCTCCTAGCTTTCCCATAGACCATGGCATTTGTTTAGGAAACATATATCTGCCAGGTCTTAGACTAATCAACATCAGATCCCCCATTGTCTTTTCTGGGACTTTGTTTGATCACCTGTAGGAATTTCAATAGTAGTGTGTGTCTCATTGTCTTTCAAACAAGTTTCTTCCACTCACTGGTTTTTGTGATAACCTCTTGAAATATCCCTTGAAATTCACTCTAGAATGTTAACCCCTAACAGTCAGCTGGGATTTCCAATGACTCCCTCTCCAGTGTTTCCGAAACTTCTCAACTCCCCAAAACATCAGGCTGGAGGGGTCTTTATTATGATGCTTTAAAAAGTGTTTCGATACACTATGTTTTGGGAAGCCTTTCCTTATATTTTGGACATGTTCCCTCAGCTGAACCCACAATGGTCTTGTAGTCCTTCCCACATATTGCAGGCCACACCCACACTGGAGCACATAGACTAGCCCCTCCGTCCTGCATGATATAAAATCCTTTATCTTGAAAACTTTTTTATTACTTGTAGCTGTCAAGGAACTCCTTTTGGGGTTCAGTCCTTTTGTGGCCTTACATGTATAACACATTTTGCAAGGGAAAAACCCTTTTTGGTCAAGGAAAGTGACCTTTTGGCTATTAGTAGGTGGGTCCAGCACATTGTGAACCAATTTAGATCTAAGTGTAGGAGCCTTCCTATATAAGAATTTAGGTGCTGATGGTAACAATTTAGAAAGGATAGGGTCGGTCCTTAGGATCGGCCAGTGTCTTTTGAATACATTTTCTATTTGTTTATAATTTCTGGTGATATCCAGACTGATAGCCATTTGATTATCAAAATCTTTCTTTTTAGGTCTATCTATGAGGAAGCTACTTCCATCTGTCTCACCCACCTCTGTAATTTTATTTCTAATAATTTCTCTTGAATATCCTTTTTTGATGAATCTTTTTTCCATAATATCAGCCTGTTTAAAATACTCCTCTATAGCAGTGCAATTTCTTCTGAGTCTTACCAGCTGCCCTTTAAGGTATGTTCATTAGCCAGGGGGGATAGTGGCAAATATCCAATGGGATATACCCATTGCGATCTACTTTTTTGAAAAAAGTCTTAGTACACAGGCTTTCTTCTTGACATAAATACACAAATCTAGAAAGTTAATAAAATCTCCACTGACCTCCCAGGAGAATTTGATGTTTTTATTGTTAATATTCAGCTGGTTTAAGAAATTCACCAAATCGGGTTCTAATCCATCCCAGATGATAAATGCATCATCGATGTATGTGTCAGGAATGGACTGGCCAGCAATGGTGGGACTCACCTGCCTTATGGGCTGCAGTACCAGGGCTGGCCAGCGGGTGCTCCCAGCAATCAGAGACTCAACCTTGCGGCCAGCCAAACACCTGAAACTGCTTATACTGGTGTATTTAAGGGATGGCCAGACCTGCAGACTCTGCCTTGGTGTGTGTTTCTCCTGGGCCCTGTATCCTGTTCCTGCTCCCTGTTCCTGTTCCTGTCTGATTCGTTGCTGACCCTGCTCTGATCCCTGGCTTTGTCTGACCATTCTCCTGCTCCTGATCCCTGGCTTTGTCTGACCATTCTCCTGCTCCTGATCCCTGGCTTTGTCTGACCATTATCCTGCTCCTGATCTCTGGCTTTGTCTGACCATTCTCCTGCTCCTGATCCCTGGCTTTGTTTGACCATTCTCCTGCTTTGTTAACCATTCTCCCTTAACCCCATACGTTCTGACCTCCTGTTGATAATCCCGGCCTGCCTGACGACGCTTGCATTGTATGTACTGTTATCTGTGGGTGGTTTGGTTTGGTTCGTTTGCACTGTGTATGTTTTAGTATTGCACTGCGTTTATGTATTGTTAGTGTTAATAAATTATATTTATAACATATCTGAAGCCTGTGTTTCCCTGCGTCAGTCACATACCTCTGGTCACACCCTGGAGCCCTAACAGTATCTTTTATATAGGACTAATTGTTGTGGGGGCTTACAGTATATTGCCTCCTCCTCCCAGTGGGCCATAAAAAGATTGGCCACACTGGGAGCGATCCGTGCCCCCATAGCAACACCTTTCACTTGCTTATAAAAATGTTTTTTGTACCAGAAATAGTTATGGGTGAGGCAATAATCAAGGCATTCTATGATATACTTCCTCTGTGACCATTGGAGGTTACTAAATTCTCTCAGACCCCACCCCACTGAATCAATGGCATCATCGTAATCAATGATGGTATATAGGGCCAACACATCCGCACTGGCTAAAATGATTCGATCATTTCTTTCAATATCATCCATTAGTTGTATGAGGTGTTTGGTGTCCCTCAGATAGGCCCTAGTGTTTTTAACTAGGGGCTGGAGAAATATGTCAATGTATTGTCCCATTCTGGTCACTACTGATTGGATCCCATTTACTATGGGTTGCCCTGGTGGATTATTGGGATCCTTGTGCATTTTGGGTACAGTATAAATGACCGGTATCCTACAAACCTCTGGGGTTAAGTATTGGACTTCTTTTTTATTTAGTAGCTTTTTATCCATTCCTTTATTTACTAATTTGATGAGATCCTTTTTATATTGGCCGGTGGGGTCTTTAGGTAAAGTAAGGTACGTAGTACTGTCCCCTAATTGGGATTCCAATTCTTTCTCATAGTAGTCCTTGGCCAGTACCACTATTCCTCCCCCTTTGTCCGCTGGCCTGATGACTATATTATTCCTTTTAGTAAGTCTTTGAATGCGAATATGCATAGCTCTATCTTGTATTCCTTTCCCAGGGCTAAGCTTCCTCATATCTATGTCCACCATCTTTTTAAATACTTCTACCTGATTATTGTTATTTAATTGGGGGTTGAACAAAGATTTGTTCCTTAATCCAGTGTGGATGATGCCACCAGGGGGGGCACTGGAAACCACATTCTTAGCTCCTGGGAGCCCAAGGAAATGTTTCTTAATATTTAGTTTTCTAACATACAGTCAGGTCCATAAATATAGGGACATCGCCACAATTGTAACATTTTTGGCTCTATACACCACCACAATGGATTTGAAATGAAACAAACAAGACGTGCTTTAACTGCAGACTGTCAGCTTTAATTTGAGGGTATTTACATCCAAATCAGGTGAACGGTGTAGGAATTTTATCTTTAGTCACTGTGCTTTTGGCAAATTAGGATCATCAGAGTAACTAAGTTACCGTCCTGTGTGATGAGCTACAATAAAATGGCCGCTAGTGCACCGCCCAGTACTCCTGATTGGTGCGGTTCCCGGCATTTATAAGGAAGTACTGTCGACCAATCACGCTGTCCTGACGAAGTCACGTGACGCAACGCGTCGATGGCAATAGCGTAGTGATGTACTTCCGGCGTGATGCCATCTTGGAACACCTTATTTTCATGCTCTACACCCATCACATGGGGAGAATACCAGGGCACATGTCCTCAACTTGGGGGGGCAGGGGGGCAAAAAAATAGGTCCGCACCCGTCGCTGGCTCCCGATTATCTGCAAGCTCCACTGTCTGACATTTCTTAAACTGAGGGACAGGGCCTTTTGATGACATGATGGGGTGACTCCACCCCCTTGTGACATCATCGACCCAGCATGCATATATGCAATTTAAACAATTAATTTTTATAGCTTGAATTATTTTTCCCATTATAGGTGTGAGTTGGGCTTCAAGTGGAGGGATGGACACTGCTCAACCGACCGCAGGAGTCCAATGTTAAGGAATGGTCTCAGCCACCATACTGGCCACACCCTCTGATGTATTTCTCCCCACCCACCAGGGCTTGATCACAAGAGGTTTTGCCAAAGGTCTCACAAAGCCTAGAGCCGCCTCTGAGTAATGCACTTTAGGTGCTTCTGAATTTGCGTAGACCTACATAAGCCCAATATGTCACTTCATGTTGATCTCCAGGATCTAGAGCATTAAAATTAATGGGCTTCCCTACCTGTGATGTGTGCGCATGCACAGATCTGAACCAAGCTTCATATCACAATCCTGTTGTTATATCAGCATTCTCAGCCCCTATTACTTTCCTCAGCCACCGCCACTACTGTCCTCTGCTCCCCCCATTACTGTCCTCAGCCCCTGATTACTGCCCTCAGCCCCATCACTTTCCTCAGCCCCCGATGACTGCCCTCAGCATCTCCATTACTGTCCTCAGCTCCCCCAATAACTGTCCTCAGCCTCCCATTACTGTTCTCAGCCCCCATTACTGCCCTTAGCTCCCCCATTACTGTCCTCAGCAGCGCCCCCATCACTTTTCTCAGCCTCCTATTACTGTCCTCAGCCCCCCCATTACTGTTGTCAGATCCCCCCAATTACTGTCCTCACCCCCCATTACTATCCATACCCCCCATTACTGTCCTTAGCTCCCCCCATTACTGTTCTCAGTTCCCCCTTATTAATGTCCTCAGCCCCACCTTAACATTGCCACTTCCTTATTCAGACAGGGTGGAGGATGGGAGGCACAGCAGGTCTGAGGGCAGGAGCTGCAAGCTGGTGATTGGTTGCTAGGACCTCCTTACATCCTAGCAACAAGTCACCTTGTCAGGAATGGGCTCAGCACAGGTGGTGCTGGGGCTTACCTGCCTTGTGGGCTGCAGTACCAGTGCTGGCCAGCGGGTGCTCTCAGCAGCCAGGATCTCACTCCTGCAATCAAGCCATCACCTGAGGCTGATTGCAGGAGGTGTATTTAAGCAATGGCCAGGCCTACATTCAGTGCCTTGGTGTTGTTTCCCATGAGCCCCTGTACCTGGTATCCTGTGTTCCTGCATATCTGCCTATCTGATTTGTTGCTAACCCTGCTTTGATCCTGACCTCTGCTGACTTCTCCTGCCCTGATCCCTGACCTGTCTGACTTCTCTTGGATACCCTCATTGGATCTGATCTCCTGTTACTGACCCAGCGAGTGACCCGACTATTCTGTGCCTGCTGCCTTGTATCGCACTGTCCACACTGTTACCGACCCGGCCTGTCTGACTATGCTTCTGCTCATTCATCCATCCGTCCTGCACAGACCCATCCGCCTCTTCATGTCAGGCTCTCCTCCAGAATATACCTCTGGCAGATCCCTCTACCACGGGTGAGTGTACTCAGGGGCCGCGACCTGGTCTCTGTCTGCTCCAAGTCTATCCCCACCATCAGGGGCCCTGGTGAACAAGCAGACTGGGACTTAGGCTCCACACTCTGGGGAATCCTATTCCGTGGGATGCTAGAGGTACAGCCAGACGGTGCATTACAGACCCATACGGCCTGCCTGACCATTCCACCTCTCCAGCCCTGACCACACCTGTGTTCCCACACATTTCTGGTCATACCCGGATCCCTGACACACCTGCTCTTAACATGGGTAATCCTTGCCCTCCATCCAGAGCTGTCCTGCCTCCCGCTGCCAGCTGTGTGAGAGTGACAGTGGCAGAGGTGATGGCTAAACAGCTCCTAAAAGGCAGGACAGTCACTCGGTTTGGATCCAGACCATGGTCCGCCATTAGTGATGCCTGATCTAGAAGATCATGATGTCAACCTTGTTAATGATCCATGAGAATTGGTCTCCTGCAGATGAACATCATGGAGTTTTTTTACTTTTTCCTAAACATTTTCCATTGCAACAAAGTGATCTCTTTGTTAGTTAAAGGATTCAGTCGTAGTTCTGAAAGTGTTCTCTATATTACTGTCCCTTAAAGGCTAAGTTCACCTTCTAAATATGTACATGTTACACCTGTATTTAGGGTATAACATGAAACATGTTCAGCACCCCCTCCACCCCACCTCCCTTTTCTGTTACAGTGGGTCAAGCCTTTTCCTCCCTCCGCCGCTGTCACATCTTAAAAATATTGTGGCTTTGAAGGGTTCCACCCGCATAGCTGCATCATTCATTTACTGAGATCTGTGAATGAGTGATCTAGTCCAGTCTGCCACTGCTGCAGATAGCTTATAGTTCTCAATGAACTACAAGCGTACTAAATAGCGGCCCTCATAATTCAATGTTACTTCCTGCAGCTCAGTAACTGCTCATATGGAGGTAGTGGCAGAGAGATTTTAACAGTGTCTGCAGAAGCCTCACATTGCACCAGTGATCTACTGATTGTGGGTGCAATGCTGTGCGGGCTCCTTTGTAAGAAAACAATGAATGCTATTTTTTTAGCTGCAATATGATATGCAATTTTTTTTTATACTAAAGGTGAATTTAGGCAGGCCATAGAAAATGCAATTTTCTTTCTTTCCACTACGGGTGAAAAGAAAGAAAATTGCTCAGTTCCCCCATCAACGCAGTCAGTGTTGATGGAAGAATACTTCCAGAAGAGCTATTGTGTTCTCCTTGTGGGGAGCCTACCCTGCTGGTACAACACAACAATTAGTGTTGCTGGCTATAACCAGTGTAACCAGGGTGTCAATATGTGGATTGAAATTTGTCCAGTTCCTGCTGAACCGGAATTTCAATCCATTTTTAAGAAGGCTGTATATTTTGCAGACAGTTAATGATAACATTTATAGGCAGCAGATGGATGATCTATAGTTCTGCTGCTTCATTGATAGAATGTGAAACAACTGACATGCAGAGTGCAGTTCTGTCTCATAGATTCATAGTTCTCTCTGAGCTTCTTACAGCGTGTTTGGGTTTTACATTCTGCTCTGCAATATTTCTAAACACTTTCAGAAGAAATGCAGGAAGCTTGTGTGACCATGTGTTTCCACAAGATGGTGATGGCACTAAACTTGATTGCAGATTATGCATATGTAGGCTGCTGTTGGAATTATAATCCTTCTGAATATTCTGACTCCAGTTATTGTAATAGTGACTCATCCCTTCCTGAGAACTCTATGCCTGGTCTAGATATAGCAGAGACAATCACTGCAGACAATCTTCATCACATAGATTAATTCACCAAACACTTTGAATCCACGAACATCTTTCTTTGTAAGATAAACAAAACAATATGATGTTTTAGATGTTGATATTTGCAGTGTCTAAAGTGTTCAAGGTGATTGTAGCCGTATTAGTGTACTTGCAACAGAAACAATTGAGTACTGTCCGTAATACTTTTTTTTATCTGCACTAACATGTCTCAGACTGTGTAGACATGTTTAGGAGATAGGTGGGGTGGGGATTGTTGATTGTTTAATGTGGCTGCATCCCATTGTTCTATTGCTTTTCTGCCTTGGGAGCAAACTATTATGGGATGTACCGTATTTGCCGGCGTATAAGACAACTGGGCGTATAAGACGACCCCCCTACTTTTCCTGCTAAAATTTAGTGTTTGAGCTATACTCGCCGTATAAGACTACCCCTCTTACAATGCACACCAGTGGCAGGAATAGTGCCCCATCATTGGTATCAGTGGCAGGAATAGTGCCCCATCATTGGTATCAGTGGCAGGAATAGTGCCCCATCATTGGTATCAGTGGCAGGAATAGTGCCCCATCATTGGCATTAGTGGCAGGAATAGTGCCCCATCATTAGTATCAGTGGGGGGAATAGTGCCCCATCATTGGTGTCAGTAGGAGGAATGGTGTCCCAACATTGGTGTCAGTGGGAGGAATGGTGTCCCATCATTGGTGTCAGTGGGGGGTGGAATAGTGCCCCATCATTGGTGTCAGTGGGGGGGGGAATAGTGCCCCATCGTTGATGTCAGTGGGGGGGGAGGAATAGTGCCCCATCGTTGGTGTCAGTGGGGGGGAGGAATAGTGCCCCATCATTGGTGTCAGTGGGGGGGAGGAATAGTGCCCCATCGTTGGTGTCAGTGGGAGGAATAGTGCCCCATCATTGGTATCAGTTGGAGGAATAGTGCTCCATCATTGGTATCAGTGACACCAATGATGGGGCACTATTCCTCCCACTGACACTTGCTGACCCTGTTCTCGTATGGTGCTGCTGCAGCCAGCATATGTGGTTGCAGCAGCACCTCTACACTGACCACTTACCTGCTGGTCCTGCACTCGATTTTCGCGGGGCCGCTCGGCTCCACCCCCTCGCCGGTGATTGGCCGCCTGTGTGCCTTTCCTGAGCTACAGTTCTGGCGGCCAATCACTGGTGAGGAGGCGGAGCCGAGCAGCCGCACGAACATCCAGTGACTGAACTGAAGGCGCAGCCGCGCTTCCTGGACCGGATCGTCGTGGGACTGGAACCAGGTAAGAAACAGCCGCTGCCCACCCCTGTACTTAGTGTCCCTTCCATTGGGGGAAGGGGGGGGGGGCGGCGGCGGCAACGCGCCGCCCCCCTAAAAAGTGTCAGTATGCCGTATACCGGCGTATAAGACGACCCCCGACTTTTGAGAAGATTTTTAAGGGGTAAAAAGTCGTCTTATACGCCGGCAAATACGTTATGTGTTTATGTGTGTTAGCTTAGTGTGGGGGGGGGTGTCTCCTGGTCCTGACGAAGCTGAGTGAGATACGCCCATCGGCGAAACGCGTTGACGTCATACGTCAGATACGTCATTTCCGGTCATGCGCACTAGGTGGAACGCACGCTGACCCATAAGGAGGAAGCCATCTTCACATGCCATGAGGCAAGCTTAAGCAGCACAAGCGCCAAGAAGGGGCTGGAACCCGCGGTATATCGGCGGATGTCAGCGGTGGTTCCTTGGCCTCTTTGGCCCTGTATGGCAGTACCTATGAAGGACTTCTCTTTCATTCCTATTATCCACAGCACAGGTGGTGAGTGGACTGTTACAGGACATTAGATATATGGTCCTCTGTGATCTATATGACCTATATATCCTATATAGAGTGTAAGCTCTGTCAGTGACTTCCCACATATTGTTTGTTTCACTACAGGATGGGGACATCATGGTGCTTTGTATAGGAAACAAGATATACCACATATATTTCAACAGGCAGAAGATCTATTGGGATGTGTCTTGTTGTTCCTACGAAAATTGGTGTGTAGTCCACATATAGTGGTGAAGAAACCATTTCAAGCAGAGTGCTGCTTTGTGCATCTTTTCTTCCATCCTGGGAATTAATGGGGCATATTCTCATTCAAGAGCTCTAGGAAACAGCTGTTTATATTACAGATGAATGGGCCCCAACCACTTGTGCCGGCACAGGAATGTATTGCATTATATATTTGACATTTATGTCTTCCTTCATACAGGCCTGAGGCTTGATGTTCTCTTTTTGACGCATATTGTGCTTGCTGCATTGCATACATGTGATATTCATATCCATAGTATAATTTTTGGATTCCCTGATTGGGATTTACCATCATGGTAATAGCTTAATCTATTATATCTTATATTATGGTATGCCTATGGTATAATTTTTGGATACACCTCCTTTGGGAAGTGTTCACCTATGTGTCTGTGCTACAGGGACATTAGACTCTTGTAGTCATTTTTTCTGCTGCACATGCATTCAGACCGGTTTTGGTGTCATTTTATATGGTTTTAGGTCTGTGTGTATTGTCTCATACTGAGGTGATGGTAAACCAGGGTGAATGCCCATATGTCATATTTATATATGTGTAATAAAGCATAATTTTTGGAAATTTTTCTGAGTGTCACGTTCTGTTCACTATGTAGCCGCTTTTCTGTGAATCTCTTTTCACAAATCCCCCTTTTTGTGACACGATAATTTATTCAACAACCTCTTAATAACTATCTTTAGCAGGGGTGTCTCCAGCAGCCCTCCCTCCTGATGGGACTGTCTGCTGGTGTGAAATTTAAATACCTGTGTGGCTCTTGTTACTAAATGGAGATTTCCCCGCCCTGTGTCATTATGCAGGGAGGGGGGATTGTCCCCTGAGTGTATATATCTTGTACATGTGTTCAAATAAAGTAGTCTACCTCTGGTTTGCTTCAAATCTGGTGCTGTCTGGATCTTGGGGTAACAATAGCCAGATTCACTGGTCTCGTGTTCCAGAGCCTGAGAAGCAGCGTCTTGACAGAGATACACAGTCGTGGGTGTC